CATGACGTACCTATAGTTTCTTTGGCTCTTCAAATTTTTAGGTATACGAGTGACAGAGTTTTAAAACTTTCAGTTTGATTCTCTAGTATTTTTCATTTTCTTTTCCGGTTTCTTTAGCTTTTTAGAGTGTGGTTGTTACTAGAGTGAAAATGAGTGAACTGTATGAGGAGCGAGAGGTGATTTTGACCACACTTTTCATGAATAAAGTTCACAACATAATTGTAATACCATTGTCAGTGCAAACTAAGAAACTCAACTGTGAATGGTTCAAAGTTGCATCCTGTTTTTAAGGTCAATTGATAAAATTATTTGTTTTGGATCCAGGTTATTACCATCTCGATTAATGGTCTCCCGGAAGACGTCGAGGAGAAAAAGTTAAAAAATTTATTGAGACAACATTTATGTTTTAAAGATATGTACCTAAATCACAAAAGAGAAACACCCTAACTTTGAGCCTTGGGATTTTCAAGTTCTGAATATTGGGATGATCCCAGGTTTATCAATTACTGCCAGATGAAAAAAATGTTATTTCTCCAGTTTCAGGAGCTGAGTTCTTAATTATTATTCTTTTTTCAGGAAAATAATGAATGAATTGATTGGGAGAAGAATGTTCTATCAAAGCATAATGCTATTGAAAATGCGAATGACGTTTTATTTCTAATTTATGCGAATGTCATTTGCAATTGTGTATTTCATGTGAATTGAATCGATTAAAATATTGACCTTTTTTACGATTTTAGAAATAAATCATTTGTTTATTTTTAATAAAAGTGACTTCAGTTTTGTTTATTTAGAGAATTATTTCATATATTTTAATTAAAAACAATTTAAAGAATGTCGGTTAAAAGTTGTTTAGAAAAAGAGAAAAAATAAACATCAAGTAAAAGCTAAAGATAAGGGGTAAAGTTAAAAAATTTAAATTGTGGTGTCATAATTTTAAACGATATCTAGATAAAGTCGTATAAATCTACGTGTAGCTCTAAAACTTGATAAATTAATGTAAAATGTAACGAAAGTAACATAAGACTATTAAAACATTATTAAAAAATAACTAAAAGAAAAGAAACATCAAATAAAGTTCAACCACTCATACTTTTTTCTTACAATTGTCCACGGCGTTTCTCATGTTTTGAAATCGGTGAATTATTTTTTCCTATATCGATGCTATTAAAATTATTTTTCTCAACATAAGTAACCAAACAATCATTCATTCATTGCATCTAATTCGATTTTGCAAGTGATTTTTTACAATCTTCATTGTAGAAAATGTTCTTTCCACACTTACCGTAGCAACCGACAAAATCAATGCAAGCTTCACCAAATGTTATACCAAATGATAAACAATATTCTTTTTTGAATCAACCATAGGTCTTGAATCCCTTCTAGATTTGAGAACTCTTTGTTTGAACACATGTCAATGATGTATGTAATAAACAAAAAACAAATTTACAGTATTCATAAAAATAAATAATGAAATAAACATTGAAAACAGTGGATATGGATTGTTGCAACAAAAAATTACATAGCGCTAACGTAACTATTCGAATGAAAACAATGAACTTATTAACATATCATAGACAAAACAATTATCTCAAAGTTTAAAATCAACCCAATATCATTAATAATTACGGACATTAAAAGCATAAACTCATTATCAATATCAAATAATAATTTTAAAAATATTGAAACATTGAAAACTCAAAGAAAACAATAAGCAAATTTAATTAACTTTACTTTGATGCTAGAATGTGATTTGATTTGATTCGTCTTTCTCCTTGAGAATTGTTAAAATTTTAATATTATTTTATGAAAGGATGAAGATTGTAAGTTAGGATTCATTGAGAAAAAAAATTGGAAAAAAGATGGGTGAATGTCGTTGATTGAAAACTTGGGAAGGAGATTTTAATTTTTTATTATTAAATATTTTATAAAATAAAAAGTAGGGTTAAAATGAAGTAGAGTTAAATTTTAAAAGTAAAATATTTGGAGAAAATAGCTATTGATTTTTATGTGTAGGAAAAGTAAAATTTAATTTTTTTTATTATTAAATTGTTTAAAAGGTGGGAAATATTTTTAAAGGGTGTTAAAATTTTCTTAACAGATGTGTCATTTTTTTTATTTTTAAATCATATATAGTATTCCCCTCTCTAACTACCCTCTTGAAGATTGTCGTGTGTGGAGTGCAGATAAAACAGGTATGTTCACAATTCGTAGCGCATACATGGTGTTATTGCACGAAGTCAGTGTTTCAGATTCAGAGTCAATCGTGTTTAGATACATTTGGTGCAGTCCATGTCAACAAAAAATCAAACTACAAGTCTGGAAATTTGTGCAAAATTATGTGCCATCATTTACAAAAATTTTATGTTAAACGACTCATTAACAATCCTGCTTGTCTCAGTTGTGGGAACGGGATAGAAATGGGGCTACATATCATAAGAAATTATACTTTGGCTCAACAGGTGTGGGGGATATGCAGATACGTTGGCCGATTGAGGTGGAGGATCAAGGTTGTGTTGAATGGCTTTACTGGCTGTTTAGTCACAGTCATACCAATAAACATGTTGAGATTTTAATAACAGTATGGGCATTATGGTACGCTAGAAACATCCAATTCCACCAAGGCAAAATTCTGAGAAGAGAGGATGTTACCACAATGATCCGATCCCAAAGTCGTGACTTCTCCATAGCAAATGACCGGATGGGCACTCCTTCTCCAGTTACAGTCTGCCGGTGGCAACCACCCACAGCTCCTAAAGTCAAGGTGAACTTCGATGCTCGATTCTCACGTGCACAACAACAATCGTGGTCAGGGGTTATCATTAGAGACTCCGAGGGATAAATCTTGGGTGCATGAAGAAGATGGGTGAAGAAAGTTACCTCAACATTCATGGCAGAGACGAAAGTGGCGATTTATGATATCCTGTTGGCTCTTGACCTGGGTTTCTCCGAGGTTATCCTTGAAGGGGAATCAAGAAGTGTTATCTCGAAGTTATCCTCCGTTACAGTAGACTATTCAGAGATCGGGACACTGATTTGGGAAGCACAACGAAGAGCTTAGGCATGGTAACTCGGCTGCTCACCAAGAGATGGTAACTCAGCTGCTCACATTCTGGCTGCTGAGATGAGCTTAGGCACGGTGGATCGATTTTGGGTAGAGGAGGCTCCAATGGCTGTTGACCACCAAGCTGCATCGAATTGAAGGTGGATCGATCCTCCATATCCATAGTGACATCGCTTCCGAAGACGAGTATTAAGGGAAGGAGCGATGTTTTTTCTGTGATTTCTTACTCCAGATAGCGTCAACTTTTTTTTTTCGAAGGGTGATAAAGGAAAAGCCAGAGTTTTTCTCCCCACCAGTTCAGGTTTAGTCTTGATTAATTTGAATCTAAATGGCCTTAATCTGATTTTAGTAGGTGAGTCTCTTAACAATAAATTTTTACATACATAATGACCCAAATCTCCGTGTTTATTAATAAAGAGTGCTGACATTTCAACTTCAAAAAAGATTAATGTATAAAATTTTTAAGTAGTTGAAAATAAATCATGGATTAAAATATAAAAATATCTAAAATATATAATAATTTAACATTTTTAAGAATTATTAATTTATCTCAATCTACTTACTGTGAACAATTCAAAACTTATTTTATTATAAATCCAATAACCATTAACATTTTTTTTCTTGAGATTTATCTTATTCGTACAACGATGTTCAAGTGAGTTGGCAAACTTTTTACGATAAACTTAGGTTACATTGTGAACAATAAAATAAAGTATGCAAATAGTTTCGATTGTAGGATATTATTTTATTAAGTCATCTAATTATTAAAAGATTCAAAATGATTCTTCAATTATAGGGAGTTATTTTGTTGAGTCATTTGACTATTAAAAATTACAAAATAGTTAATCGATTATTCATTATATTCTAAACTCGTCATTTTTTATTTAAAAATTTGACAACATCCTAAGTTATTCGTTAACTTGCTATTGAGATATAATAAAATATGATCTCATAATCTCAAACCACTATCATATCTCAGGTAACATGTTGAAGTCTAACTTAGAAAATCGTTACTTGTTTAATGAAAAATAACTAGTTTGAAAAATAATGATAGTCGAGTAACAATTTTGTAACTTTCAATAGTTGAAGGACTCAATAAAATAATTCTCTATAATCGAGGGACCATTTTATAATTTTTAACCGTAAAAAGACTTAATAAAATAGTATTATATAGTGGGCAATCATTTGTTTATTTTACCCAAAAAAAAATAATTATGTTTACATGACATAAGCTTGCTCTTTTCTTGTAATATTTTCCACATGTTAAATTAATAATTTTGTTACCCCATTACCGTTTTCATTAGTATGGTAACTAATAATTAGTCAGTAATGGTGCGTCAACTTTTTCTTCGTTTCTGTGTATGAGGTATCCTTTGTTCCAAGTGTGAAAACAAACGATGATTTAGGAGGAAAGTGGAACAAGTTTTTGAGTTGAAAAACTGAAATTAAGTTTTTCTTTTCTATTTTCCCCATACTGCATAGTTTTTCCAACCAAAAATAGGGCCAGATCAAAACAAGAAAAATACTAGTAAAAAGGCCAAAAGGTAAAAAAAAAAAAAGGAAGAATCAATTGAAAGCAAATCAAGCTTCGACAGAGATCGAAAGAGCAGATACACAGCAGAGACCAAAAGCAAGACAGAGACCTGTTCTGTACGAGAAGCCACTGGGGAACGACAGGGTCCCCCCCCCCCCTTGTCTTTCTTGTTCCTTTGATAAATCTTCTTTCTTCTTCGTTCAGGTACGATTATGTGTTTTTGGAAGCATTTTGCATGGCCATTGGAGACCGTTTACGTGATCTTAAAGGGTTTGTAATTATGTAAAAGATTTCATTGGTTTTGATATGGTGATTTTCTTCAGGGTTTCTTTTTTGAACCGAGTGAATACAGGAGGGGTGGCGGTGGTTCTTGGTTGGAAGTTCCTGCCAAGTTAATGCAAAATGGTTTTGTCCCCTGAAAATTCTCCATCTTCATCGAATTCCACACAAGATAGCTCAACCCCACCTCCATCATCGAATTCCACGGATGATAACTCACCATCATCATCACCGCCAACACCAGATAGCTCACCACCACCACTAACACCAAAAAGTTCGTCACCGCCGCCCCCGCCGCCCAAAATTTTATCACGACCACCGCCGCCACCGAAACCCTCTCCACCTCCACCAAAACAACAACCACCACCCAAGCCACCGGCATCTAATAGTAAAAATCATACTAGCAGTCCTCCTCTATTCCACGCTCCTCCGCCTCCTCCATTACCTTCTCCTCCTCCTCCTCCTCCACCACCTGTTAGAAATGGTACCGGCAACTCTTCCTCAACTCCTACCAAAAGTGGCAGTGGTAGTTCCACGTCTAACGATTCAACGTCGGAGAGTGGGTCGAATGAGAACTCGGAGGCAAATCTCGTTGCCGTGGTAGCTATGGCGGCAGGAGTATTTCTCTTTATCTTTGTCATCGTTTTAGTGGTATGCTGGCAGAAAAAGAAGAGGAAAAGAAATCCCCGAATACAGTTCTACGGTGAACCTAAAGGTGATTAAAAAAATATGGACGATTCTTTTATTTATCTATTATGAATCTTGAGAATAGCTTTATATCAAAGGTAAACTACTTATTTAGATATCTACCTATTTTACCATTTTATTTTGATCAATTAATTATATTTTTTCGAAATCATATTTAATATATATTTTAATTACCCATCGTTAAAAATTTAATGGTAATATTGACATCTAATGATAATGTTGACATGTATCATAAAATAATGTTACATCGTCATTGAAAAAAATAACTACACCAACAAATCTATTTATTTTTCAATGATAAACGATCAAAATAAAACTGAAATATAACGTTAAGTATAATTTTAAAAAATATAATTGAGTGAAAAAAGAGATAAATGAATATATGAGTAATTAAATATATAGTTTACCCTTTTTATCAATTTTATAATTTAAGTGACTGATAAAGTTTGCATGACTCATGAGTTATTATGCAGTCGGTGGCGATGATCCGTATTATAAAGGCACGATGCAACGCCTATGGGGAGAACATGGTGCAAAAGCAACCCCACAACATGGCAGTGTTGTTTCTAGTGGTGCAGGTGGTTCAGCTCCTGGTGGTGGTGGTGGAGGAGGATGGCGTTCACTATCCCCAATCCAACCACAAATGGTGAGCGGTGAACTAAGCTCCCTGTCAGCCGCACCTCATAGTAATTTGGCACCCCCGTCACCAAGTATGACTCTTGGAATAAATACTGGAACTTTCACTTATGAGGAGCTTTCAGCAGCTACTGGCGGTTTCTCTCAGGCCAATCTGCTCGGCCAAGGCGGGTTCGGGTTCGTGCACAAAGGTGTGTTACCAAGTGGAAAGGAGATTGCAGTCAAGAGTTTAAAAACTGGTAGTGGGAAAGGCGAAAGAGAATTCCAGGCGGAAGTCGAAATAATCAGCCGCGTCCATCATCGGTACCTCGTGTCCCTAGTCGGATACTGCATTGCAAGACAACAACGGATGTTGGTGTATGAGTTTCTTCCAAATAACACCTTGGAATACCACCTCCATGGTAAATTATCAATTTTGCATGATTATTCATTCATTATCCTTCAAGCTTAAGTATCTTCGTTAAAAGCTAACCCTACCCACAACAATTGCAGGAAATGACCGCCCGGTTATGGATTTTCCGACTAGACTTCGAATTGCATTAGGTTCTGCTAAAGGGCTTGCTTATCTTCATGAAGATTGTGAGGAATCTAAAGTCTCCCTCTTCACCTCTATCATTTCCCATTCTTTCTCTAAGGCTTTTCATTTCTTCAGGTCATCCTCGCATTATTCATCGTGATATTAAATCAGCTAATATTCTGCTCGACTACAACTTTGAAGCCAAGGTAGGCCATCTCTTAAAATCGAACTACTTTTTTAATACACATTACTTCACAGGCTCACAGTCAAACGTTTGCACATTTTTATGCAGGTGGCTGATTTTGGATTGGCTAAGCTGTCTGAAGATAACCACACCCATGTCTCAACTCGTGTGATGGGAACATTCGGGTAACAATAAATAACTGTAAAATATTTGAGATCAAACGCCTTGTCAGTTATCATACGTGATTTTTTATCTTATACAGGTACTTGGCACCAGAATATGCATCGAGCGGCAAACTGACAGAGAAATCCGATGTTTATTCATTTGGGGTCATGCTATTAGAACTCATAACCGGGAAGCAACCTTTGGATCCAAAAAACGCAATGGACGACAGCTTAGTAGATTGGGTATGTAAATTCGATGGATCAGTTGCCAAAACCACAAGAGCCATACAGAAATGATGCGTTACTGTTAGTTTTTTTTCTCTGAAACAGGCTCGACCGCACTTGACTCGCGGACTGGAGGACGGTGACCTCAGTCCGCTGGTGGATCCACGTTTGGAGAACAACTACAACCATGAAGAAATGAAACGCATGGCGGCCTGCGCTGCCGCCAGCATTAGACATTCAGCTCGGAAGCGCCCCAAAATGAGTCAGGTTTTTCCAATGATCCCCAAAACTTTCTTCTTTCTCTTCTTAATTTATACTCTGGTTTCGGATTTTCGAGTTAGAATCGAAATTATTATAACGAATGTATTATGGAAAGCAGATCGTGCGTACCCTGGAAGGAAACTCTTCATTAGACGACCTGAACGAGGGAGTAAAGCCAGGACATAGCACAGTGTATGCGTTTGGAGGAACAACAGATTACAGCAAAAGTTCATACGAAGCCGACATGAAGAAGTTCAAAGAATTAGCATTTGCAAGCCAGGATATGAGTGAGGACTGAGAACAAAACCTTACAAACTTCAAGCACACCGGAGATATATGCGCTTTTCAAAAGAACCACCATATATTAACAAGCTGTATCGCCTTTGAAAAAAAAAAACACAACACTGCTCCTTTAGATTAATAACATAGTTGGTTGCCTCAAATAGTATTTTCCAGCTCCATTAAATTAATTTGGGATCCTTGCTTGTTCATCAAGTGTTTTTCTTCCTTTTTGTATTCAAGACTAAAAACAAATCAGTTTTCAGGTGATATTTCGGTGTAGTATAATAAAAATGGCTCCCAAAGAATTTCCCTCTAAATTTTAAATTTCAATCAAAATTAACTATTTTTTTATATTTTTTATTGATGATTTATTTTCTCATCAAATAAAATTTTATAATTTCACGTCTTCCGAATTTCTAATGTAAATAATTTCGCATCCATGACAATTGACATAAAATCTTATCTTAGGTATGCCCCTGTCCCAATCCATTACGGTATTTGATGATACTTTATTCGCTGTGAATATGTTTCTAAACCACTTGACCCGTACAAATAATTTTCATTCAATAAAATAGATATATAATTTAAAATAGGGATGCCTTCTAATTATTATTCCAAAACATTATAATAATTGTAAGTCAAGTCAAAAAAAATTATCATAAACTCGACTCCACCCTTACTCTGACTCTATCCTTCATAAACACATCTAGACTCACCTTGCATCTGAATTAAAAAAAAAACAACCTCATAAATCTAATTGGTTCAAATCGAGTAAAAATTATTAAATTCAAATATTTCAACTATCTTAATAATATAGATAAGAAATTTATTCTTAATCGACAACAATTAACAAATACAAACCAATATAAAAGAATGTCTTTAAATGCAAAATGGCACCAAATTAAACTTGTGACATGAAGAAATTATTTCATGAGTTTTTAGAGATAGTAATTTCATACAAATCCGATTTGATACAGTTAGGTCCTTTTATTTTAAAATTTTAGACTTGAGTTGAGTTGGATCGAGTTTTAAGATAAGATCGTGTCATGTCAATTTTTTCTTTTAATTTTATTTTCCTTAAGAAAAAAATATCTTAACATTTTAAAACTTATATTCCTCCAAACTGACAATTGTCGCTCTTTCTTTCGTCATCGCTTTTGTCATTGTGTTGTGGTTTATTCAATCAAAAAGATTATCAAACAACTCTTCTTCTACTCTTTCTTTCTCTCTTTCATTTCAGACTTATTGAAAAGTCTTCCAGTCCCATCAAATCTCAATTGAAATTAAAAGTTGAAACTTTTTGACATACCACTTTCAACCGTTGGATCAGCTTGGAATTGAATTATATTGATCTACTAGCTAGAAAATATTTTTATCATTAAAATTTACTGACAATTGTTTTATTCATCAAAAATTCCACAAGATCAAGATGGATAGTTTTCTCTTTCTCTTATTTTTTTCTTTACTTGTTTTTGTTATTATTTATTGCATGATGCTATTAGATCTTTTGGTAATGGATGGTAATAGAGTTTCGGTTGTGCTTAGTAGTTGGATGAAGTGATGGTGATGAATAGTTCGATTTTGTGGGAAGATAGTGACATTGTTGTGTATAGTAAGTGTTGTCTGTGTCTGGTGACAACAACGATCAGCAGCATACCCTATAGTGATAATGCACATGATCTGAAAAGGGATGACAATTTGGAAGCTTGAGTTTTTGGGGTTTTTTAATTAACCATTGGTATTTAGATTACCTTATCTAGATCGAATTTAGCATAGACCCATTATGTGATGATCATTCCAATCAAGCTTGTTCCATTCATAATTGTCAAGATTCGAACTCCTGACTTTAATTAACGAACCTAGTGTCTCATCTTACTAGAACAAGTGAATGTTGGTGTTTTAGGAGTTTTTATCATGGCACCTTAGTTTTTTTAGCGACAACTTACAACAATGATTGTAATGAAAATTAATTAAAAGTTTAGTGATTATAATATAAATTTTAAAAGTTAAGACGGTAAAAGCATCATAAAAAATCAATGACCATTAATGTAATTTATCCTATATAAAAATAAAATACTAATTATTTAATCTTAAACTTGAACATTCTTTAACTTTTGTCTTTGAATTTAAATTTGTTTATTTTGATCAGTTTAATAATGTGCCATTCGACACATTATTAGTGTCCCGCGTCAATTTTGAAAGGAATAAAAAAAAAGATTATCAAGCTTTAAAATTTTGAGGACTAAAATAAACATATTATCGAATTCAAGAACTAAAAATCTAAATAGCTGTTTCTTATTATATATATTGAACAAGTAACAACCTAACCCCTCGATTTGTTTCGGAAAAAATGAGACCTAGCTAAGCCTCCTTTGATCTTCATTCAACATGGGAGATTACAACGATGCCTTCATGCGCAACCAAAACGCCGCCGCCGTTCAGGCCCGCGTTAAACCCCCTCAGAATCGCGCCAATATTCAACAGCTCAAGCTGGTTCGTTCTTCAAGGGTTTTTTTTTAAGAGCGTGATCTGATTACTTTTGATATCGACTTGTTAGCTTTAGATTATTGTAGATTATACTTTTATGTGTGCTACTTTACGTTTTCGAGTTCTATTTGGTTAATCTGGTTTTATTCTTGTCTTTCGAAATGAAGATTTGCTGTGATTTTCGAAATACTGGATGCGGGTAAAAAATTATGGTGATCTAATTTTGTGGGATGGGTTTAAGATGATTAAATACGATTTTGTTTACTTTGCAGATTGGGCAAAGTCATCCTACTGGTTTAACAGCCAATCTTTTGAAGCTCTTTGAACCACGACCTCCGTTGGAGTTTAAACCACCCCCTGAGAAGAGAAAATGCCCTCCATACACAGGTCTTTGTCGTGTATTTGTATTTGAATTTGAAAATTTTCATTTATTGTGTTTTGCTTTGTTCTTCTTGGTTAGGGATGGCACAGTTCGTAAGTCACTTCGCCGAGCCAGGAGATCCTGAGTATGCCCCGCCTGTTCAGGAAGCAGAAACACATGTAGGATACTTGTTCTTAAGTAGAAATTATTGTGTTTTTGATTCTGTGAAATGCTTTGCATGATTAAATTTTTTTTGGTTCCGTTTCTTATGTTTCTTTATTTGTTTTTATTGATTTTGAAATTATTTGTCAGTAATATGATATGTCATTGGAATTATTAAAAATTAGGATTTTTAAGAATTTATTTCTAACTTAACTGCCTGAATTAACTGAAATATTTTGGCTGGTTAAGTCTATTTTTTGGGTAACAAGGAAAACTAGAAAATTTGGTTAATCTGATTCAGTTATAGTTTTGCACAACTGAATGAACATTCCTAGACTTTAGTACTATTAGCTGGTCAAACCTGGTTGAGTGTGTTGTGAAAAAGAATTGTGCATTGTATTATGGCTTTGGTTTGATATGTTAATTTCACCACTGACATAATTTGATGGAAGGATAAGGTTTTAACTTATGTTATATTTTGGAACGATTTTCTTTCTTTTTGGATCAGGCACAACGAAGAGCAAGAATTCATAAGTTGCGACTAGAGAAGGGTATGGAGAAGGCTGCTGAGGAGTTAAAAAACTGTAAAGTCTCATATCTTTAAATTGCTTATTAGTGAATGATGAATTTGTTTGGTGCATGTATTATGGTCTTGAATTTTTGTGTGCTCTATGCAGATGATCCAAATAGCGACCCCAACATTTCAGGTGATCCATACAAGACATTGTTTGTTGCTAGACTTGTAAGTGAATTTGCCTAGTTTCATATCCAATTTCACATTTCAATTATTACTGCTTGAATAAGTTACTAGTTTGTATTATGTTTTGCAGAATTATGAGACATCCGAGAGTAGAATTAAAAGGGAGTTTGAGTCTTATGGACCAATTAAGCGGGTAGGTATTTTTGAGCATCCTCATGCGGGTTTGGTAAGAGGTTATGCAGCTGCTTTATCCTATCTGTTCCCTTGACAAAAGATTTTAGTTTCATGATATAAATTTAAATCCTTAAAAAGTTTTTCGTTTCCAGTATTTTGAAAACAAAGCTATACCTTCTTGTGTAAAACTTGAATTTTCTGACATATATGCATATTTGCTTAAGCATATTAAAGACAAATTCTTTAAATGTTTGTTTAAACTTGGTATGCTGTAATTTGTCATTGTCACAAGATTCTATCTTTTTATGGTACTTTTAAATGCAACGTATGCAACTACTCATTGGCATCTATGAGTGCACTGAGCTTCTGCCATTTCTGTAATGTATCATGTTTGAGTGTCTGTCTGCTCAAGTTGTCGAAAGTAAAACAGGTATCACTGATAAGGGGGAATTTGTAAGTTTCACTTGACCCATTGACAAGCTGCTTGAATATGGTAGGATGTAGAAATCATCTCCAGAAATAGGTGAACTTTCCACACTTTAGGTACTGTTATACCATTAAGAAGCTTCTATAAAAGGTATCTATGGTAAGGGGCTGATTATTTTGTTTCTGATTCCCCACTATTTTACAACCCTATTCCATACATGTTACTTCATTCCTGCGAAGCAAAGCTGAAAAGCTATGTTGAACGGAGCTGTTGTGCATTGTGTACCTTTTGGCCTTTATTTTCAAGCAGCAAAAGGTGGCTGACATCTGTTCTTTTTCATGCCCTGGGTAAAACATTGGGAGTATTAGCATCTCTTCCTTTTGTTATTTAAGTTTTTAGCCCATGCTTTTCCTGCTAATAAAAGCTTTACTTTTGGCTTTTAAAGGCTATCAAAAACATATCAGCAGTTGAGAAGGTGTTCTGGTATTTTCTAGTCTATAACTATTTTCTATTTTAAAAAATATTTCCTGGTAAGGGGAGTTTAGTCTGTTCAACAATTGGTAAATATGCCATGATACATCGGTTTATCTGCAACTCTAGCAATGGTGGTCAACATCTCACAATGGCAGCCCTATGATTAAAAGGTGAGCACGGCTTATGAGGCATAATGCCTGCCTGCCGTGCCAATTAGGAATTTACTATTTCTAACATTTTGTAGTGCTAGAACTTAGCTGTGGAGATCAAGCATCGGCAATTATAATTATCTGATTCCTATGAGACGGTTTTTTTTCTGTACTTTCAACCGTGTTAATTATTTCTTTGTTGTGACCAGGTTCGGCTGGTTACTGGTAAATCTACAAATAAACCAAGAGGCTATGCTTTCATTGAGTACATGCATACTCGAGACATGAAAGGTTTGCTTTGCTTTGATTATCATGTTTTCTTTTGAGCTTGAAGTCATTGAGTGCATTGTTAATATATGTTTTCAAACATCTCTCAGCTGCTTATAAACAAGCTGATGGGAGGAAGATTGATGGAAAAAGGGTCCTTGTGGATGTTGAGCGTGGTAGGACAGTCCCAAATTGGCGCCCTCGGAGGCTAGGTGGTGGACTTGGAACAACCAGGATTGGAGGTGAAGATGTTACTCAAAGGTACTTATATGGTGGTTACATCATATTGTAATGCTGATGCATAAATGTTGGTAGGCCACCTTTAATTCAGGTTCCTTCAGAGAGATAAGCTGAACTCCAAATTTGTTGCTTGGCTGATGTTCTCATAAAACTTGAAGTCAATTATTACCAAGCTTGGACTGAAACACTTGTGTTATTTTCCTGATATTAAAATGCTATGTCTGTTTGTTTGTTTTTTCTTGAAATGTAATGCTATCATTTGCTACTCAGGGAACAAGTTCAATCAGGACCATCTCGTTCCGAGGAGCCAAGGATTCGAGAGGATCCACCTGGTGACCGGTAAGATTTAGCTTTGTTGTTCCATCAACTTTTATCTTTACAATCTGTGGAAAATTTAAATGTTGCTGGCTGAATACTTATTTCAGCATAAATGGGAGAATTGTTCATTTTGCCTTGAACCATTTTCGAGGCATTTGTGACTGTCGATCATATTGTATTATAATTATCTGTTTTATCTTGGAAATCTTAGTGAAAGGGAAAAATCCCGTGATAGAGGAAGGGAACGGGAGAGGGATCGTGAAAAGTCTCGCGAGCGCTCCCATGACAGACCAAGGGGTCGGGATAGAGAGGATAGACATCACAAAGATAGTGAAAGAACTAGAGACAGAGATAGGGAAAGAGAGAGAGACCGTGGTCGTGATCGCGACCGAGCACGTGAACGTGGCCGGGATCGTGGTCGTGACTATGAGCGTGATAGAGAAAGAGATCGTGAGAGGGATACGGACAGGGATTATGATGTCGGCAACTACGATCGTGACCGCGGGCGTTCCAAGGATAGAGATAGGGATAGGGAATCTGATTATGACCGTGTTGAGTCCAAACATGAGAGAGACAGGCACAGCGAGAGGGACTTTGTTCATGGTGAGCCAGATGAGGATCACGGATGGTATGAACAGCATGATCATGGGCATAGGCGTTCAGACGAAGATAACCAACACTACTATGATCATCAACGAGGTAGAGGAGAATATGATTTGGATGCACATGGTGATCGTTATGATCAATATGACCGTGACCGTGATCGTTATGATGGGATGGAAGAAGATGATTACAGGTGATTTCGATCATAAGACAATCAGGTTCTTGAAATTGAGCCACTGCTTTCTCTGCAATTGCACCTGGTTTAGTTTAGTTTAGTTCCCAAAGGAACTGTTTCCAATCTGCTTTCAGGAGTGTTTCCTTTGGAGTTGGAACCTTCTAAGCGTATTTTTGTTTTTATTTTAAAGTTTTCTCAAGACTTTATTTGTTGGTTTAAGCTATATGCGACTGTCCTACATTGTGTTTGCATCCTTTTGCTGAAGATACTTTAATTGGGCAATATAATGTTATTGTATTGCTGTCGTTTTGTTCAATGTGCTCTTATGTTGGGTAACTCATTCGATCCGCGCGTCAGGCGCTCGGTATTGGGCTTAATTTTTCGGCGAAGGAATTAGTCTAAGATTGTTCAACTTGGGATCAATCTATACTAATACTGTCCAATATCAGATTGGATAACGGAGAAGCTTCTTCCATGCAAGTAAGGTTACAAATGGGATGAGATATATTGTGAGTTATTCGAATTTGATCTAGTTAAAGTTTGGTGAACACTTAAATTGAATGGATTTGAATTTGACTTGAGTTTTTAATGATTTAAAGTGAATTATTTGATACTTGACTAGAGGCAAACATTGATTTTCAAAACCTAATTATTTTTATTTCAAACATACTGAAGTATCATAAAAGGTGTAAAAAAACAATTATAAAACATTTTATAAACCGAAGTGCAATGACACAATTTAAAATCTAAATAGTACAAACGCTTGGTTATAAATCTGAATAAATGAGTAAGGTTCTATAAATACATATGTTCACTAAAGTTACAATATAATATTCTGAAGGAGAAGCTAGAAGTCCTGTTGTGACGGTGTTCTACGAACGGCTCTGGCTACTGACATGCGAACGGAAAACATTCGAATGCTTAGCTTACAAAGCCCAATAGAATAATCGCTAATTTAGAGTAGTATTATGAGTCTCATAAACATAAGCTTGTTAAAGATATGTACTAAGCGGTAGGTACATGCATGATCTTAATCAAGTGCTATCTACTTAGGGATCGACTGTTCTATTATTGTAGTAGAAGTCTCATGCTTCCTTTAATCCTCTGCTAAGGGTATCGCCATAAGTACACCTCTAAGGATTTCTAACCTTAATGAGTGTAACTGCTATGTATTATCTAAATGCGACACTGACACTCATGTACATTATATGAATGCAACACTAGCTCCACTTTGCATTATCTGAATGCAATATTGACTAGTATATGGTCTCACATAGCCATTAGACATTAGTTAACTGATGGAATCTGGTGTCACATAGCATAGGTGAAATTTTCAATAAGCTGTTGAAAGATCTCCTGGTCGTCACATAGCCATTAGGTAAATCATGGAAGGGGAATCCGATGTCACATAGCATCGGTACAATTCCCACTCAACTAAAGCATTGTCTCGATCTCACATAGCCATCAAGTCAAGCTTTAAGGATATCTACTATACTGAACTGATGCAACTATACATTCATACTCTAATGGTCCAAAGGCCTCACAACATTGACATTACTAACCCACTCCTCATGAGTGTTCGGGCCTCGTGCCCTAGTTAACCCCTGAAGTGCCTCGCGCACTAAAATTTCCCTACTAGGGAAACTAAGGTAACATGACTACACTCTAGCATAGCTAGACACACTAAAGTGAGGCCATCCCCTCACTAGTTGTTATCTTACTCATTCTCTTACCTAGAACGTTATGCATAGTGTATTACTTCTGTTAGTTTATTAAGTGGCTCTATTCTGGTCATCCGTTACTTAGAGGCGTTTTATTCATTTTGTATCTAGAGAAATCTCTACGCGTTTCGTGATTTTACAATGATTAATGTGTTTGTTGTTCGCTGTCTGTTACACTAGCTAGCTCAATACCTAACTCAGGTTCATTACTGGATAGTGACGCTCTAATCGCTCTTATCATTCTTCTTTCCAATACCCCTTGAATTGGATGAACGACTTATATGTTATCGGTTCACTAACGTTCTCAAAGCACATGATTTATGCTATTACTGAATCTAACTTACTTATCGTACCGTTTGCCGTTATATCCTCTATAATGATCCTCGTTCTTAACTATTCGATACGTGCTCGAATAAATATACTTTGACGTATTACACTTAGTATGGTTACATCGTTTATAACCCACTCTTACGAGTTTTTTTAGATATCTTTGGTCATTTATGTCCCCCATGGACTAAGTTATACCATTACAGATTATCCTTAGCTCTTACTGGCCAATAAGGGTAATTTAATAATTTCAACCCCCAATTAGAGGTGAGCGTTTGATCAAGTAGAGTCGAATCAAGTCAAAAATTTTTGAGTTATTCGAGTTGATGAGTCCTATTTTACAACTCGAAGTAAACTTAAATTTTTCGAGTGGAGTCGAGTTTATAAAATTCGAGTTGAGTCGAGTCGAATTTTCGAGTTTCTGTTTAAATTTAATTATAAATATTTATAATATTATGATATTATTTGATTACAATTTAAAGAGTTTTTTATGATCATAAGTAATACATATATATCTATATATATAACAATTTGTTATTGTGTAATTTTTTATATAAAAAATACAATACATATACATTTTTTTCATATAAGATATACATATATCACACATAATTTAGGGACTCGACTTAAACTTGAAAATTCATCCAGTAATTACTAATTTTTTTTGAGTTATTCGAGTTGTATTTACAATCGATTAGAACTTAAATTTTTTAAGTAATATATATCTATATATATAACAATTTGTTATTGTGTAATTTTTTATATAAAAAATACAATACATATACATTTTTTTCATATAAGATATACATATATCACACATAATTTAGGGACTCGACTTAAACTTGAAAATTCATCCAGTAATTACTAATTTTTTTGAGTTATTCGAGTTGTATTTTACAAATCGATTAGAACTTAAATTTTTTTCGAGTCGAGTTTATGAAATTACAACTCAAAGTCATATTGAAACGAGTTTTTTCAAATCGAGTTGAGTAAAAAAATTAGATTTTCGAGTTGAGTCGAATTTTGCTCACCCCTACCCTCAATGGAGTTTTAGTAAACTCTCGCACCCGAGCTAGATGCCCAATCTCAATCGATTTTAAACTCCTCACTCTTAAGTATATTTGACATCTTGAAGTCACTCAACCACACTTTGGGTATTGATATCAAGCCTTCGGTATGGATATCCAATACTCGGTATGGAAACCATTTTATTTGGTATGGATACCAGTCCTCCGGTATGTATACCAGTTTATCCTGGATAAATACTCGTGGTATCGATACTGAGCATTCGATAAAGATACTACAACCCCAATATCGATACTAATGGATCAATAATGATACTCTTTGCTAAAATTGCTCAGATTTCATCTCAATTCATCCAATATCGATATTTGAACTCAGAAATGTCTTATTTAAGCTCATGAAACACCTAAAAATCATCCCAAAGGTCTTAGTTTAGTTCCTAATCATGTACTAAAGCTTTAGAAAGTTAGTTAGGGTCATAAAGTGTCATAAAACCATATGTTTAACATCAAATTTGTCATATATGACATGAATCAAGTATGAAATCCTAAAATGCTCTAATACCAAAATCTTAACAAATCATCATGCTTATGAAATCCTTAACACTCCAAAGGAATAGAAATACACTACCTTGATGATTAAATCTCGAAATGAAGTTCCTTGCTTAGTCATACTCCATTTCTTTGTGATTTGGATGAAAACCTACTTTTTCTTTAACTAGGAATAACCCAAGACTTGAATCCTTAAAACGATGTTGTTGGGGGATTATGAACAAAGTTGAAGTATGAAAGGGGCTTAAGAACTTACTTTTGTGCTATGGAACTTAGAGAAGAAGAAAGAAAGGAAAAATGGGAAGAAAGGAAGAAAATGAAGAGAAGAATAAGATGGAATAGATAAAGAGCCTTCATCTTTTAAAAAGGGTGAAATTGCACATTTAATTATTCCTCATCTTTCTGCCATTAAAAATCTCCTTTATATTGCTAATTGGGATCAACTCCAGCCCAATTAAGCTCGACAACTTAAATTATGAAATTCGCGAGGTCCACATACTTCTCGGGTAAACCCAAAACTACTAGCCTAAAATTTTGGTTGTTACAACTCTCCCATCCTTAAGAGAAATTTCGTCATCAAAATTTACTTGGATTGAAAAAGAACTCACTCTAGTCATCATAACACTGAATACTAAAACATTTCACAAGGAAAATGCCAATCAATCGAGTCAACTTAGTGCATAATTCTATAAATTTATGATTCTTGGTGAACTTAGGGAACTTGACATACTACACGCTGAGATCCTACGAACACTTGCCATACACAGTCTCGATGTCGACTACTGAACTATGATGAAAATTCTCAGCTTCTGAATGTTGAGCTCTATATTTCTACTGTGCAACTCTGATTCAATACTCATCCATGCTACTTGACTGTTTCTTAATTGCCATGTGGTTTACATACGCATTACTCACCTGATTGCACATCTAAGATACTCATAATTGAAAATCGGCCACTTGTTGAACGAAACTATCAACATTTGGCTCTCATGGAGAACACACTTCCCAAAGTAGAGATCTCTCGTAACTGCATTCTAATTTAAGGGTTCTAGGACTCTACGTCTTGCACTCATTATCACTTACCACCATTGAGTTATTTGATGACGGCTAACACTAATTAAACGACATTTAACGTCTAACACTAGAATCTATGATACAACACAACACTACATATTGCTATGTGATGTATATAGCTCGCGTTCATATATCAACATGAAGACATCATTGACGAGGCTTGGTTCACTTAGTTGATTCACTTATTGTTCATGCAAGAAGGCATCATGGTGATGTCGGAGGGTTCATTGTACCTCGAGACTCTTAACTCACTATCATACCTATAGTACCCTTAGTACCTAAGGAAAAATTTCTTAACCGATGCTTTAGAATGTATACTTGGTTAACTTACTCCTCGCGATACTTGGGGCATTTGCACCTAGTTAGAAATTGAAGTACCTTTGCACTAGCTGAGATATATTCTGAAGTTTCCGACGATAAGGTGATCACTATACTTGCAAGAGTAACCTGATTATTCCTAACACTCTCATGGAGATATTTATCTCCAATGTTGAACTTAAGATTACTAAATCTCTGTGGTTCGGTTACACGAACCCTCTACTGGTATTACAAAAACATCCTTAAAGTCTCTTATACCCACATAGATTGTCAACAAGGAATAATCACCTATTCTCCTATCTCTTGACCCAAAATCCTAAGGT